GTCGCGCATCATCAATCGGTTGTCCATCGTCCAAAGTTGCACTGGCGACGTACTGGTTGAACGCGGAGCGAGCAGCATCACGCGCGTGCCTGAACGCCACGCAGGTACAGTGCACGCGCGATTGGGACTTCAGGTCGATCACGCGCGTCTCCACCAGGCTTGGCAACACCACGCGACTGAGGATTTCACTGCGGTCTGCCATGCTGCTGTCCGCGAATGCAACGCGCTGCCTGGAAGTAAGGCGGCGGCGTCCACTTGTCTCAGAAGATGTTCCCGCGGGCCCGAAGGGCGACCGCCAGCTCGAGCCGCGGCGCCGGCAGGCCAGATAAGGATCATGCAACAGCAAAGACGATGACAGAGCAACGAGGTATCGGCGAGTGCATGACCGGCCTCCGTTTCCTGCACTTCTTTCCTGTAGTTCCCCTAGCTCATCGAGCTCAGCAGATGTTTCTGCGGGTCCGAAGGACGACCGCCAGCTCGAGTCGCAGCGCCGACGAGCTGCATCCACATCAGGCAACACCCCAGGAGACACTGGCACACAACGATTTGACGTCAGTCAGTGCCAGACCACTCCATGTCTAGTTCCTCGCACACATACAGTCGATCGCAGATGCGGGATAATCGAAGTAGAATGACGGGTCCAATCTGCGTCCGCGTAGGACGTCACTATGCTGGACCCCGCAGCAGGTCTCGAAAGTGGCGACAGTTTCATGGGCCCCACAGCAGCCCTCGAAAGTGGCGACAGTTTCACAGATCGTAGCCCCCCAGCGCTGGCGAGGTCTAATCTGAGTCCCCGTAGGACGTCACTCCGCTGGCCCCCCAGCAGCCTTCGAAAGTGGCGACAGTTTCACAGATCGCAGCCCCCCAGGGATGGCGAGGTCTAATCTGTATCCCCGTAGGGCGTCACTCCGCTGGGCCCCCCACGCACTTTTCGAAAGTGGCGACAGTTTCACAGATCGCAGCCCCCCAGGGATGGCGAGGTCGAATCTGAATCCCCGTAGGGTGTCACTCCGCTGGGCCCCCCAACAGCCCTCGAAAGTGGCGACGGTTTCACAGATCGCTGCCCCCCAGGAATGGCGAGGTCGAATCTGTATCCCCGTAGGGCGTCACTCCGCTGGGCCCCCCAGCAGCCCTCGAAAGTGGCGACAGTTTCACAGATCGCAGCCCCCCCGGGGATGGCGAGGTCTAATCTGGGTCCCCGTAGGGCGTCACTCCGCTGGGCCCCCCAGCATCGGAAGTGGCGACAGTTTCACAGATCGCAGCCCCCCAGGGATGGCGAGGTCTAGTATGAATCCCCGTAGGGCGTCACTCCGCTGGGCCCCCCAGCAGCCCTCGAAAGTGGCGACAGTTTCACAGATCGCAGCCCCCCAGGGATGGCGAGGTCTAATCTGAGTCCCCGTAGGGCGTCACTCCGCTGGCCACCCCAGCAGCCCTCGAAAGTGGCGACAGTTTCGCAGATCGCAGCCTCCCAGAGATGGCGAGGTCTAATCTAAGTCACCGTGGGGCGTCACTCCGCTGGCCACCCCAGCAGCCTTCGAAAGTGGCGACAGTTTCACAGATCGCAGCCCCCGAGGGATGGCGAGGTCTAATATGAGTCCCCGTGGGGCGTCACTCCGCTGGCCACCCCAGCAGCCCTCGGAAGTGGCGACAGTTTCACAGATCGCAGCCCCCCAGGGATGGCGAGGTCTAACCTGAGTCCCCGTAGGGCGTCACTCCGCTGGCCACCCCAGCAGCCCTCGAAAGCGGCGACAGTTTCGCAGATCGCAGCCCCCCAGGGATGTCGAAAGTGGCGACAGTTTCACAGATCGCAGCCCCCCAGGGATGGCGAGGTCGAGTCTGAGTCCCCGTAGGGCGTCACTCCGCTGGCCACCCCAGCAGCCCTCGAAAGCGGCGACAGTTTCGCAGATCGCAGCCCCCCAGGGATGGCGAGGTCTAATCTGAGTCCCCGTAGGGCGCCACTCCGCTGGCCACCCCAGCAGGCCTCGAAAGTGGCGACAGTTTCACAGATCGCAGCCCCCCAGGGATGGCGAGGTCTAATATGAGCCCCCGTGGGGCGTCACTCCGCTGGCCACCCCAGCAGCCCTCGAAAGTGGCGACAGTTTCGCAGATCGCAGCCCCCCGCAGGCAAGACAGAGGAGAGGGGGCGGGAAGGAAGGAGGGTGGAGACCGCAGTGCTCTATTCAAAACGAGTACCCAACGCGGGAGGGTGTGGAAAAATATGTTACAACGTTTTCTCTGTGCCACATCAACGAGGGTTCGGCTTCAGAGAATTGGAAAAATTGGAAAATTAGATGTTACAGCGTCTCCCCTCTGCCGCATCAGCGAGGGTTGGGCCTCAGAAACTTGGAAAACTTGAAAAATTAGATGTTGCATCGCTTTCCCTTCTGTCTCGACGCGAAAATGCACCTGCAGGAACTCCTCGTGGTTTAGAATCCATGTCCACAGTGATCAAGCAGCACATCAAGAAGCGGTCGTCCCTCGTCTTCGACGGTTGGAAATCATCGGAGGCAGCAGTCAAACGGCTCGGCTTCCGCTACGCACCGCCAGTGGACCACTGCACTGGTTGGCGAGATGGATCCACGGGCTTCCATAGTAATGACATCGAGAGCGCAAGCTCTCGCATGAAGATGTGGTTGCGATCTCGCTACAGCAAGATCCCGATGCTGAATGAGGTTGCCAGCGATGCAGTCTGGGCTGCAGATCAAGAGATCGACCCCTGTGAGGAAGAGCAGCAGATGACATTGCCTGATCTAGCCGAGTATGCTCATTATGTGAACTCGGGACAATCAATGGCAGTTGCAATGAAAGCGTCTGTTAATGCCCATGGCGGTGCTTATGATAAACCATTTCGCTTTTGCTGATTTTCGAATCGCGCATCGCGCATGCCTCCCTTGTGCAGCGCGGTGGCCAGCGCGGCGAGAGTTCACCGCTTGTACAGTGCGGAGAATACAAGAAAAGTGCAAGTAACAAATGAGTGGAGGGTCCTTGGGGGGTATCCATATCTATATATATATATGTATATATGTGTGTATGTACATATGTGTGTCTCTCTCTATCTCTCTTTATCCCCCTATTGTTTCTCTTTCTCTCTCTTTCTCTCTCTCTCTCTCTCTCTCTCATTCCCTCCATATGTCGTGTGTCTCTCACTCTCTCACTGTCTCTCTCTCTTTCTCTCCTCCTCTCTCTGTCTCTCTGTGTCGCTCCCTCTCTCTTTCTCTCGTTCTCTCTCTCTCTCTCTCTCTCTCTCTCTTTCTCTCTGAGCCCGGAGCCTCTTTGGGGAGCCCGTAGAGCCCCCCGCACGATTGGTATACCCCAGAGAGCTCATTGGTATACCCCTCTTCTGGGGCCCAAAAGCCCCTCTCACTGGCAGCCCGGAGCCCCTCTGATTGGTTCCCCAGAGCCCCTCCCGCTGGAGACACGCTGCCCTCGCACGTCGTACTCGTGCAGCACCTTGCTGACAAGCCGCCGCGCTGCGTCGAGGGCGCACGGCCCAAGGGCCAGCATCTGCGCCCAACCGAGAAAATCGGTCGAGCGTCTGAGCCCAAATGGCCACAGGCATCTGGCAGAGCGAAAGGATACACATTCGTGTTGACACACGGGGGCATAACCAGACATGAATGAATTAGTAATCCCTGAAGGCCAGCGAATCCACAATGGACAGGGGAGGCCGAAGCTGTTCCAGAGTGTTCCAGAGTGCTCTGAATCTCACCGAAGCGAATGTCTCGCCCTTGAGGCTGTATGAGAAGAGGAGGTGAGAAGGGAGGGTGGAGAGGACGTTTGGGTGGAGAAGGAAGAGGAGGACGATGGGGAGGAAGAAGAAGGAAACCAGGAAGATGACAAGGAGTCCTTCCCTCTAGACGGGCAAATGCACGAGGAGGGGGAGGAGGCCGACACTCAAGAGAAGGATCAGGAGGAGGAGGAGGAATTGGACGGTCAGGGAAGAACACCAGAGCAAACCCAAGATACAACAACGATGCTGCAATAAACCCTCCCGCCTCAGGCCCACTCCAAAATAGTCCCTGAAGAAGTCTTGTTCTGAGCGCGGTGAGTCCCGCTTGAAAGACGAGCGCCCCATGAGCCCGCAATTCGGGGGGAAGCTCTGTTTCGAGAGCGGCCATCCACCCTGGGAGCTATAAGAAATGCGACAAGGTTGGGTCATCAAGTTCAAAGACGCGCACCGAAATAACCGCGCGTCGAAAAGGGACCGCTCTCCAGCCGTGCAGCTGCTGCATGAATAGATTATTATGGTCAGGTATTCGAACAAACGAAGGCCCGATTCTAACCACCCTCCATCCGTGCGACTGTGGCACTGTAGTGAGTGTGATAATGTTGTTTGGGGAAGCCTCAAGCGAGAGATCCGTATCGGTTGGCTGTTTACGGAGAGTGCGCGCGGCACCAAAGCGGGAACACCAGTTTGAAAACAAGCTGCTACTAAAGTCATTACATGCTACTGTATGTAATGATCAAACAAGACGTGTACCCACAGCGACAAGGCGAGAGCTCAATTTCGAAAACGGCCCGCCCTCCATCCGCGCACCATCGGTGTAGCGGTTGGAAATGTTTCAGACGAGTTCCCGCGAAACGAAAGCGAAATCCCATATTGAAAACAGTCCGCATGCCACCCGTGAAATGTTGAAGCTTGTGGCTTCAAGCTCGTGAGCGATGAGGACGTATGTCTAAGGCGAAACGCCAAGCACACCCGAACGACAGGCCCGCTGCGACACGGAGGAATTATCTCGAAGGAAAAAGGATGGAGGTTCTGGTAGGTCTTCAGGCAAGAACTCAAGCCTCAGACGACCTGTCGGGACGACCCCGGGTTCCTAGGCAGGCCTTCGACAAGTCGCAGCCGATGGAAAACACCCCGAGGCCAGAGAACCACCAATAACCCCCGAAGGGCTTCAAAAACTTTCGAACACCTCCTGGGCGACCTTCGAGACAGGCCCAGAAACGGCGGCGAGGACGACGACGACGACGAAGACGACGACAACAGCAAAAACATCCTGGCGGTCCGTGCGGCGGGCCGCTTGCACTGCGGCAAGCGCCTGCTTGCGCATGGCGACCCGGGCCACGTCCATCTGCACGAAGCCGACGCCCGGGGCAGGCAGGGTCTTCTTGAAGAGCTGATGAGGGTTGGACAAGGAGAGGAAGAGGAGAAGGAGCAGGAGGGCGACGGAGAACGGGGGAGGGGGGGAGGAGGCACAGGAGGAGAAGGATGAGAAACAGGAGGAAGAGGAGGAAAAGGAGTACGAGGAAGAGAAGGAGGAGGAAGAGGAAGAAGAAGGGAGGGAGGAAGAAGAGGAAGAGCAGGACCGTAGAAATGGCAGAAGCGAGACAAGTGGAGCCCCTGACTCCGTCCCCCACCCACCCCGCAGATATAAATTTGGCCCTAAGCGTTGGGCAGCACGGGGGTGAGAGGACTGGAAAAATAGCCATTGCCCACGCGAGTTTGAAGCCACTCTTGAATCGGGGAGGAGAGGAGGGGGGGCTGGGCAAACTAGAGGTCAAACGCTGAAAGGATCCACCTTGTTCGCCCACTTGCCGGAGGACGAGGAACATAACGAAAGAGCTGGGAACCTTCTTGTGTTCGGCTGCAGCGGACAATTACCAGGGCATTGGGAACTCCGCCCAAAGAAAGCCTGTGACGAATTAACTCCTTGCTCGGAAACCGCCACGACCACATTGCAAATATCGATGACACTGTCCTTCTCACAAGCACTTGGTGCAAACACCAAATGAGATGGAATCGAAATCTGTCTTCTTTACTCAGACCACGAAATCTTCATTCCGTACTCAGACCAAACGCGAAAAGGTGCGCCCACCCCCCCCCCGCCCCGCTCGCGAGCCACAACGGTTGCGGGCGGGAGGGATACTGCACACAGCACGAGCGAGCGAGAGCATCAACAGCAGAGATATGCGTTGATATTATCCTAAATGTCACATCCCTGCCTACCTGATTTTCATGCAGGAAAGAGAAGCGCTGCTAAAGAATGCGCAGCAAACTCAGCAGCAAGTGCCAATGATATTTTGGAATAGTCTGGCCAGCTCGACCGGCCAAACCGCCGCCCGCGCACCGAGCAACACATATCAAGACATCACACCTTGATATGAGCTTTTGACAGGGTGCACACATCATCACTTTCACCACCCATCATCATCCCATATTTGGTAGTGAATCTCAGCGTGCCTGAGCTGACTTGACGATGCTGTAGGCCATGTAGGTCTTGATGCTCGGGTAGAAAATGTAGCTCCCGCTCTGGTCTGCGCCCAGCTTCAGACACCGGCCCAAGCAATTGGCGCAGTGATTGCCCTTGCTGCATATTGCCGCGAAGCTGTTGCCCTCGCACTTGCCGCTCTTGATGCGCATCGGCCCCAGCGTAGTCAGCCACTGCCTCAGGAGAGCACTGCCCCCCAGGTAGATCCGCCCATCCTCTGCGACCTCTTCGGCGTAAGTCTCCACCTCGGGCTCAGCCTTCCGACGCAGCGCAGCTGTCTTTGGTTTCGCCGGCTTGCTGGGCAACTCCGCCCTGAAAAGGAGGTCGCTGCTTGAACTACCCACCTCCATCGGCCCCATGCCGAAGTCCTCGTCGTCGCTCTGCTTAGGCTGCATTACGTAGATGAGCATGACGATTCCCAGGATGATAGAGACTAACGTCACGACCGTAGGAGACATCGAAAGACCATCTCCATACACTGCGAGTGCACATAATTGAAGCAGAACTGCAACTTGGCCAGGTATCGGGATAGTTCGCTGCGCGCCACCCCTCTCCATTGGGTAGTTGCCCGCCGCATCGCCCATATGAAATGTTTCGACATACTCGGTCTCGTCATAAGCGTCACCCTCCTCGTCGTAGAAGCGCTCGCCCACGTAGCTGCACGTCTCCACCAGCCAGGTAGATATCTTATCGTTCCCCTCGATGCCGTCGCACAGTTCCCGCATGACGTACTTGGCCATCTTCGCGACCAGGTCGTCGACCTCCTTGTGGGCTGCTACTTTCTCCGGACCAACGAGCTTTCGTCCGCGCATTAATGGCGCTCTGTCATCAGGCTCGAAAACCCACAAGTTGGATGTCACAATCTTCCTCGCGTAGCCTCCTGGAAGCACTTTCGTCGAACAGTCCGCTAGCATCTGCTCGCTATTAACCCACTTGATGCTGACCTCCTTGAGCGACTGACGTAGTATAGCCGCCTCTAGCGAAAGCCTCCTATCGGTCATAGATCTCCTTCGTGATCGCGTCATACAGACGCTTGCAGTCGGTCACCGAAATGGATTGCACCGGGCAGGTGTCAAGCACGATCTCGGCCGCGTCCAAATCAACATACCCACCGAATCTGCACATGAGTATGCCTCCGCCGATTGCACTTGTTGCCGTGGTCCTCGTTGATCTTCTCGTCACCTAACATAATGAAGTATCCCCGCTGCGATCTGTGCATCGGCAGGTTGTCAAAAGCAATGTCGGTCACGTTGATCACCGTGGTCTTCCACAGGTTCAGGCCAGCTGTGACTATAATCAGTAGATCGTCCCGCTTCTGGATTCTCCCGACAGCTGCGTTCCCGCCCTGCAGGCCCTTCACCGTCGGAGACCCCAGCGTCGATGCCAATCGGGATGCCTCGAAGGCCTCTTCGAAGCAAATCATTCGCGCAGCCCACTGCAGTTGTCCAACCACCATTCGTAGTCCCCGATGTTCTGCAAGGGTAAGTGCACTGTCAGGTACCTTGCTGCGCCCCCTGGAGATACGCACTGTCTGCATAGACTTGACGTAGACCTCCATGGTGACGTTGATGCTGCCGTTCTTCTCCTGTTGGTAGGCCCGGCCACGGAACGTCGCCTTTTCCTTCCTCGCGTACTTGACCTTGCCGAAATCGATCTCCTTCTGGAAATCTTTCATGATCTGGGCGCCCCCAGGGTCGTCATGCTTGATGCCCATGAGGAAGTCGTCCACGTGTAGGCACATGATCCCACGGATCGTGTTCTTCGGTTTGCGCTTGGTGAAGGTAGCGGGCTCGAAGCTCAGGCCTTCCCATCCAAGCTCACGAGCGTCTCGCGCAACGCCGCGTGCCAAGCTCTCGCCGCATCGTCGGCCCAGTAGATGCTCTTGTCAAGCTTCATCAGGTCGCCTGCCTTAACGCCTGGGATGGTGCACTTCCCGAGGTTCGCTGGGATCCGAAAGTAGAGCTCGCGCGTGCTCGCCTCGCCCTGTAGAAAGGCCCCCTTCACGTTTGCGACGACTAGATCGAAGTTGAGGCGTGATACGATGCTGCACAAAAGTGGCGCCATCTGTGCTGAGAGAGACTGTAAGAGAGTCTCGGCGTAGCTCGTCGTCGAACTCCTCCTCGTAGCCTCGCCCACATATTCTCGCCCTGGGCTCAAAGGTCGCAGAGCCCTTGTCCGCCCAGACCACCTTGGAGCTTCGGGTCTTGTCCGGGTCTATATTCTCAACCGCTGCTCCTGACACGTGGGTTGCTGCATCGTACTTGCACCAGGTGCCCCACTCCTCCTCCACTGCGCACTCCATCTTCTTCCCCTTGAGCTCGTCGTCGCCCAGCGCCTTCAGGTTGATCGCCTGATCCTCGTTGGCCCTCGTCGGCTGGGCGCACATCCGCTCGGCCACGAATGCTTCAACAAGGAGCGGTGTCTCCGCCAGCAGCTTGACTGGTTCCGTTTGCCCCTTCCCACGCTTGATGCTGATGGGCACATCGTCCAGTAAGAACTCCTTGAGCGTCAAGGGATGCCCCTGACGCCTGCTGCCGCAATGCTGCTCCGGCTGTCTTGTGCTCGATGTTGCCGCCCCCTGCTGACATTGCGGTCCTGGTGTCGGTACTGCTGCCTTCCTCTGCCTTATTGCGCTCCTCCATATACCTCTCGATGCTCGCAGGTACATGGAGTTGAGCTCGGTCGTCGCGAGCATCGTCCTTCTTGGTCTGCTTGATCTCCGGGCCCTCCTTGATCGGATGCTTATTGCAATCGCGTCTCACCTCAATCGGCTGCCCCGGCCCCCCCATGAACTCGTCAGCGTTGCCACCACTCGGGGGTCCAGGCTGCGAGGCTGCAGGTCGTCGGTGACCTCCCGGTCCATCTTCAGTTCCTGCTTCCTTTCTCGATGTGATCTCCTCGATGACCGCGATCGGTTGCTGCGCCACCGCGTCGTCGTTGATCTGAGGGTTAGCTACCCAGTCCACCCTCGAGATGTCTTGAACCAGGTCGCGCGTGTCCAAATTGAACAGCCGCCTCCTCTCGATCTGATACCCTGGTGCCGGGTCGGGAAGTAGAGGTGCATTCCTGATCTTGTCCAGCTGCCTCAGGTCGGTCCTGCCCTGGCTGCTGGATGCCGCTTGCCCCGGGATGGCGCCCCAAGCTTGGCTCGCTCGACGTAGTCGCGCTCGTAGATCCTCCTCTGCTTGATCCTGATAAGCTGGAACTGGTCCATACGCATCGTCCAGCCTCTGGCGCGCCGGCATCACGTCATTGTCGCGCACCACATCCGATCGTCTCTTCTTGCTGCCCGTCTGCTTCGGATGCCCCACGCCACCTTGAGCCGGCGCTGCTACTGGTACGTCCTTGCAGCGGCTGCTGTTGTGGAAAATCTTGTTGACCAGATACCTGCTGATGAGATTAGCGCTGCCGTTCTGGAGGCTGCTGATCTTGATGTTGATACGTCTGTTGAACAAGTTGTTGATCTGGCAGCTGATCATCTCGTGCTGGATTATATTGTTACCCTTGAAGGTATATAAAACCTCTCTGTCCAGCTCGCGATCGGGCTGGCCAGCCGTCTGAGAACAGGTCGGTGGACTGCATGGTCGCCACCTCGTGCTCGGTCGCTTTTCATCGTAAGCTTGGTGAGCTCAGAACCGGGATCCGATTGAAAATCGGCCAGTAGCCATGCTCGTCCTTGCCCAGGCACCGGGCAGGTCCATGCCATCGAGCATGTAAATTTCTCTTTAGATTGCCCGATTTCCAGAACATCAACATATCACCTTGCTGGAAGGGCCCTGGCTGGGGACTTGTCCATGCCAGAACTGCCCGCTTCAACGCAGATGAGCTGGCTGCCTTGAAGAAGGACTCCGAACATATCTGCCGAAAGTGTAATCGATTAAAGAACGATGTCCTCTCAGCTACCCTGG